CCTTTGCAGTCTACTGCTATTCAAATTGGGTAATTTGCTCAAAATCATCGCATACTATTCAAAAACTATTTCCTGAATTCACCGTCTCCCCTAACACACTACAGACTACTAGACTTTTGAAATTCTTATACAAGAAGGAATACAGAAATTATTCAAATTTAGAAGGAAAACATTTGATAAATTAGGATTATATACATATACATATTTCAAGTCAAGCAGCAGTCCTTTTAATATTTCAAAGCATATCACGTCTGTATTAGGTTTTCACATAGCCCTAAAAGGGTATTTTTTGAAATGCTAGTTTGAAAATGCTTGCCAATCAGGGAAACAGATATTTAAAGATGAATCCACTTTACAAACAGCCAAAATAGATGGTCCCAAAGAGGACCCAGTATGGCTTTACCAGGATATGCATCTTAGCCCAGCTCTTCTGTCCGGGTATACTACATCACAAACAATATCTCAGAAGTGCTTTCTTTCAATGGGTATACCTTGAATAGGGTATTAGAGTGGAACCTGGCCCTCATCTGGGTAGTACTCACCTAGCCCCCAATCGGCCCCATCTCCAGCCGTCCGGGCTTCACCGGCCCCTTCCGAAGCTTCACTGAGGATCAGGTCAAACTCGACCAGAGCCTCCTCGGTGGCAGGGTCATTCAGCACGTCATCCATACCTGCCATGCTCTCGTTACCGACAACAGGCTGCTTGGCCGACAGTAATGTGGAGGAAAGGAGAGGAAACATCTTGTTAGAAAGAGACATGAATGTCAGACATGGGTCTGGCAATATGACGGGGGGGGGAGCAGGCACTGGGTGGCCCTCAAGGGAAAGGGAATGTTCCCATTGGGTGTTGACAATTAAGGTTACTGATCAATCACAGACTTTGATAGGACTGAATCAGTCCATGCTACATTCCAGGTGACTGTCACCCTTTCAAAAGAGAGGCCAAGAAAGTGCCCAACTGGTTTGAGTAACTAGGGAGAACTACATGCCAGAATAACACAGAATCAATTCCGACCCAGCAAAATCCAATCAAATTAAACTACAGTGTAGAGAATGAACATGAAGACAACAGCAAATTAAATCCACAAAATTTTACGAGGGTTATCATACGAGCCTCACCAGATGCAAGTGAAGCAAACTTCAATAGCCACTCTTTCATTTTTGTCCAACGCCCTCCCTTATATCCTCCAACAACCAATACACAGAATAAGAGAGCCCTTTACCAAATTCACACACCAAGAAATCATGAGCACACAAAAATATCAATGTGGAATTCCCTACAATTTCTCTCTTTTCTCCTGAGATACTCGTGCGTATCTATGAATATCCTTATCCTGACCTCCGTTAACCCGGAGGGGGGGCATCTTACTTTCTTCTTCTTGATAATGGTGCCCATTTTGCTCCTGCCTTCCATGATGCCATCCTCGCCGATCATGCGGCCTTCTCCAGCTTCTTTCTCCCTCTCGTCATCATCAGTCCCATCCAGAAAGCTGAAGGACGTCAAGACGGTGTCAAGGTCATTTTCTGGCATGGGATGCTTCTTATCTTGTCTGCAGAAAAAAAAGAAAATGAGATAAGAGCAAATTTAACTGTCAGACAAAATTTAGAGGGGAACCTGTTGTAACGAGTATGCCACAAAGCAAGTACTTTCTGTGCTTAGATTATTTTTGCACTGAAGAGCTGTGCACAGGGCTCCCAAAGAAATCTGAACACCAAATTTCATGACTTCTCCAGGACTTTCCAGGACTAAAGTACAACAATTCCCATGACATTTACTGCCATTTTGCAGACAGAGAAAAGCAATTGGTATCACAGCCAGACAAGGATAGCCTACTAATTCTGTTTTCACATGAAAAGCGGCCCTTTGAATCTAACCCTTGCACGATCTTGCTTTTCAGACTTGTTTTCCTCTGACAGCAGGATTCCAGGAAACTATATTTTTCCCCACAAAGATTTTTTAAGAATTCTTCACAAAAGTGGGAACCCTGTGTACAAAATGAGCCAAGCCATGCAGAATTAGCACATATAGTCGTGTACATGTACAGAAAATGTGTTCTTCACTGGCTTGCCTAAGCTGCCACACAACTTTATCTCCAGTTTCTGCAGAGAGTCCACAGACAGGTCTTTTGGTCATTACACCCTCGGCCCTCACCTCTTGGCAGTGTCGGACTGCCGGCCTTGCTTAACAGGACTTTCCCCATTCACCACAGGTTCTATGGATACGTTGCCATCCAGGCCTGGTATATTCTGCTCGTTTGGGGCCAAGCCCAGAAGCGAGCGAACCCGATTTGACCGCACATCTAATATTGTGTCTGTGTAGCCTATTTCCTGTAAATATCTAAGGACAAAGACAAAAAAACAAAAGGAAAACATTGAAAATGAGTACTAACAATCATTTTGGACTGGATTTTCATTTACAAAATGCATTTAAATGCCAAATTTGACTAGCATTATTTGCAGGTTTTGTCATCAAATAAAGGCATAAATTATTGGTACACCAGTTATATAATAAACTGGTATCAAAGACTAGTCACAGTTCAGACACCATGAGGTATAAGATAAGGGCATTTGTGCATGATGTAACAAATCCCAGAAATACATAGATTAAATGAGGACATTTTCATTTCACAATCAAATCTTTCAGTGACATTCATGCTCATGTAAGGTACCAGCACGAAGAAAGAACAAAAATATCCTTAACACGAATTTGACAGGTCAAAAAGCAACCGTACATATACATGTATAGTAAATAAAAATTATAGGCCTACAATGCAATCACTGGTTCAGAAATTAACAAGCTGCATGAAAAGAAATCATGAAATCTACTTCCTCAAAATCCACTGAGCTGTAAAAAAAGCCAAAACGTGACATGTATACATACAAAGCAAATCACTTTACACTATCATACATGTCCATGTGTATGTTACCATTGTGAACATGAAATAATGCACATCTTCAGTACCACACATCCCTACATGCAAATGTACAGTGCAGTGCTCTGTACATTACATGTTATTTAATGCATTTAGCTCAGAACTACCCTGAATGGGAGGCTAAAGGTTAAATGAGAGATTAATTACATACGCATCTGCATTCATCGCCTGTACTCCTTGGCATTTGGGTGAAATTACAGTGCTCTTCGGGGAACATACATGTATAATACCTTGTTGACGGGCAAAGAACTCAGGATTTTTTTTCCATTAAAAAAGGTCCAACTTGTTTACAAAACATCACTCAATGCTCATAAGCAGGCTGTTTGCATTCAACACATAGCAAGACAGACCAGGACAATTACTTCCAGGGAGAAAGAATGAAAACCACAGAAAACTGAATTCAACTGATACAGCAGCCGTGAGGGAGTACTCACTGCCTAAGCAGTTGCCTGCTTTGTTTGAAGTTGATTTGACTGTTGGATGAAAGCGCTGATTCTTCTTCACCGCCTTCCTCTGAAAATAAAAGAAAATATACCTTTGCAAGCAATCCCTGAAAAATGGCCAAGCATGATCAACTAGCCAGAATCCAGACAGGTAATTGTGCTTAAAACAACACCACTGAAGAATGAAAAATGTCACAGAAAAGACAAGGCTCTGACCGTTCACATGCAGCACACATGTGGCTCATTCCAGAAACTAGGGTCCATTTTTTTTTCGTATCCATCACATGTGACATATGATTTTGTAAGTTCTGAACATATTTTCTAATTTCTAAGAGTGATGAATTAATTCAAATTAGCAGCCAAACAAATACTAATAGTTTGAAATCAAGTCCGGTGATATTTCCATGTCAAATAACCAAGGTCAGATGTAAAGGGACACAAAAAGGTCACACTTTTGTACCCCTCATTTCTGGAATTACCCACGTACAAATAAGCGTAGTTTACACAGGTCTCCAGTCTACCCGTTGTACATGTAGGCTGAGTCAAGAAGTTGGATTGGCTTCAACCAGGCTTTAACAGTAATTGTTTGGATTTGAATCAGATTTCTGATATTGCAATTTGATTTTTATTTTAAACCGGAGATGAGTTGGCTTATTTACATGTATTTCAAGGCAAGCATATTTCTCTGTTTGTGTATATTGTTTTTCTTTTATGACAAACTTTAACAAAGTGGGATCCACACATGTAAATTAGAAGGTTTTAATCAAGTACCGAGAATTAATTCCCCTATTGGCAACAACCACCTTCAATATTGTTTAAGCAATGGTGAAATACATGCAGCACAGCACATGTACACCTGTAGAGTGGACACCAAGGGTAAAGCACATGTACACATGTACACCTGTGGAATGGGCGCCAAGGGTAAAGCACATGTACACATGTACACCGTGGAGTGGGCGCCAAGGGTAAAGCACATGTACACCAGTAGAGTGGCACACAGTATCAGTACATGGTACTAGGTTTTAAATGTGGTACTATCAATTTCATCAAATGTAGAACTTGTTAACCAGGATCTCAAACCAAAGGACCAGTAAACAAACTTGCCGTCAACTACATGTGCAAGCACATGTACAGTACGTGTACTTACCGTACATGTACATTGCATTTACACACTTCATATTTACATGTACCCAGCAGATTGGAAAAGCCGGTACCTGTATTTTTCCTTGCTCTGGATGTCTGCAAAAAACAATCTTGTTTGTTCCGGGTTTTTTTTGTGATCCAGCTTCTATTAATAGAGTGGTGGCTCAGGTTTGATTAAAACTCACTTCATTGGAAACATTTTGTGACTGGTTTTGGTTTCAATGCGTAAGGACCAACATTTTGTAATTCTGCTATAATACTTGTACATGTACATACATGTAGAGAACACAGATGCCTGTACGGTCATGTTAAACTCAGAGGTGGACACTTTGAATCAAGTGTAATTACATTGTTCATCCTGATTATAAATACTTTAATTCATGAATTGAATCCAAAAGCTGATTTAAATCAAAACAAGCGGCTTGAATTGATCAAAAAATTCCTGCCAAACCAGATTGTGTGTAACACGTGCACCCATACATAATATCAATTGATACTAGGCACGGAAGGTTTCACAGAACGGCACATGTATCGGTAAGTGTACATGTACATGTATTTGCCATTTCAAATGTCCGAAAGCTTGGAAAAACTTACAAATCGGTTGGAAAAAATGACAAAAAATTGCAACATATTTGCCCCTTTGCAAGAAACTTAAATTTTTTTTCCAAGCGATTTTTTAAAAACTTAAAACCTAAACCAGGATTTAAATTAATTTACAGCCCATGTAAACTGTCCAATACTTCCTTGCTTACATGAGCATGTCGCAAGGACCCGTACCTACATGAACAGTATGCAAATTTCCATTCTGAAAACAACAGTCTTTGACTGCACTAAAAACGTTCGAGACATGAATAGGTCTCTCTCAAATGGTTTCAATTCCTGCAGATTGCCACATGCATCGCCATTTTTACTTGAATTTCTGTAACGCCCATTGGCTGCGCCGTATTTCAAACATGTTTGGATCAGCATGCGCGCAAGTTCAGAACATTTTCCACACCAGGCACACACGCACCTGTCGGCATTGTATACACAGATGCAATTGTCTTACAAAGATGGCATCTAATGAGAAAGATCAACACCTGTTAATTTATCGTACCACCTTGTCGTTATATCAGTACTTGATTCGTTCAAAGGCATTTGGGAACAAAGGTGCACACTGCATGTAATGACATTAAATACATTCATTTAATTTCTTGCTCTTTGAGATTTGACATTTCTCTTTTTGGAAACTGGCACCCAAACACCAATAGCCATAAAAAGGAAAGAAAATACAAGACAAACGGACAATTTATTTGCAAGAACATATTGCATAAGCATCATGGGTTTGACAAAACACAGCAAGGAAACACTGTGTTTTTAAAGTGGCAATATTAAGGACATGAACATGTATACATGTGCATGCGTAGGCATTCGCCGCGTTCAAGGGACAAGTTCTTTTGTTAGAGACATTTGAACCGAGTTGTGGGGACATTTCTGAGTCGCCCCCACATTTTCAGTCCCCACAAAACAGGTGAAATATCGAGTGTATGTCCCCACAACTACGGTGCGAGAGCAGGTGTACCAGGAGTTGGCAGTAAAAAGACAGTAAACTCTTATTCATCTCTCATCAGTTCTAGGATGAATTCTACATCTGACCGAATAGACTCGGAAAAAATAATAATTAAAGGTCATTTGATTTAAACTACAACTTTTTCAAACAAATAATTCATAAGTGCACACAAGGACATTCAGCATTTCTGATTGTCAGCAGAGAAACAAAGAAGTTATGTGAAATGAGATGGGGTTAAATATGAATTCATTTTAAACTAAGTCTTTCACTATTCAGACATCATCTCACCTCCATCGAATGCTGGTGGCTTGATATCTTGGCCCAGGTCATGTCCACACTTGAGCTTCTGGTACTTCGCCCTGTCAACCCCAAAGTAAAGCAGATGTACATGTAATTGATTGTTTTTACTTAAGGCACTAACTGAAATGCCTTTTAAGTACATAAGTAAACAGAAAGAGGGGAACTTCAAAGCATGAACTGGCCAGAGATCATGACACTGGGCTGTCCACAGATTGATAAAACCCTCATCTCTACAGTGAAGAGTTGATTATAAACAAACACAGATATAAAACAACACCCCCCCCAAAAAAAACCAAGCATATTGGTGTAAATGTGTGTGGGGGGTAGGCCTTCCCTGTATTAAGGGATAAGTTCTTTTGTTAGGACAGTAAGGACCTAGCCAAGGGACAAAAATTTGTCCCTATATGTTTTTGGTCCCCATAACGTCTTTATTTATTACCATACAGTATGTGTACATGTATATTAAAAACTTGGTGACAGGTATTTTAAAAGTCAAACCAAAATCCATATCATGTTTTTAAAAGTCAACAAACAGCATACTTTTCTAATTGTAAAAAAAAACTAAAAAAGAAGAAATACACAAAATCCAACCCAAATTCGCATGCAAGTACTGACTGTCCACGTACATAATGTACGGGAGAAGCCGAAGCTCATACAACCCTAACCCCATAGGGAGCATGTAAAATATTGAAATTGGAGGATTTGGGACTGTTAGGGCTATTACGCCAACAGACATTGTGCAAGCACCTGTAGGCCTACATGTATTCACTATACACATGTTCACTTGTATGCTCGTTTTTAGAGTTTAGTAACTTTTACTACAGGGCGGCATATGCCATACTTTACGGTACGAACAGTGTACGTACATGTACATGTACAGTGTGTGCACAGTGTAACAGTATAGTCAGCCTTCTCATGTATGTCATAATATGGAAGAACTGCTGTGAGTATCAAACCACAGATCACAATCAGAACTATCATCATATGACCTTAAAATCTCACACAGGCTAGAAACTCCATGCCATCTATGGAAAGGCACGACAATAAAAGAACCAATATTAACAGACCTTTTCACTCTAAATACCGCAAGGGTCATAATACATGTGCATGTAGGTCTGTTTCAAATGTGTAAGCCCACACAGCTCTGTCAATGCTGAAAGATTATTACTGCATAAATATCCCTGCCAGTCAATGAGCAATGATGATAGGCATGGCAGGAATGCTAACCTCTCCAAAAAAATCATTAAGCAGGTTTGTTATTTGCCACACGCACAGCGTACGACTAGACTGAGTCATTGAGTGTGTAGTGTGACTGAGTAGCATACACACTGTAGCGGGCTTGTCGCAGGACTCCGTGGGCAGGTTGATCTCCCGACACTGAAAACCAATCATATCCAATGTAATGCTGGCACAGCTGAATCACAGCTGAAAAATTAACATGGTCCAGCCATGATAATCAGTCCTTGAGGTGCAATGTACATGTACATGTAGCTGCAGTACATAAAGGTATTGCATTTTCCAATTTCATTTTTATATACCATGTGCATAAACATCTACATGTACATAAAAACAATGTGTACATGTATACACACATCCGTGTTGAAAACATTCTTTTAATTATTTTTGGATTTACAATTCTAACAACTTACAGGTAGGTGAAACACTAACACAAAAACTGGCTCATAACTGAAGAAGATGAACCACGTATGCAAAACGTCATCCAAAAACATATACAAATTTGTGCTTAGCCTACACACATACAGTACTCTGAAATTCTCAATTTCACAATAGGAAATCAACCGTGAAACTGAAATAAAAAACCATTG